AGGTTCAGGTCTGGGACAGGCATTTAGCACTGTGACAAACACAGGAACAATTCCATTCATTACAAGTTCTCCACGGAGAGTGCTCAGAACAATGTGTGTGGACCCCACCAATCTCGAACCCTTAGCTGATCAGTCAGTGAGGGGAGAGCCGAAGGCTGACCCTGGGGCTCCGCAAAGTCTCAGTGAAGCAACATTAACATTTCCAGAAAACACCCCCACTTATTCTTCTTTCTGAAAAAGGCGGCCACTCCTTTGAAGCTGGAGTATAAAGTGTGCTTCTCAGGCCGCCTCTTTTCTCCTTGGACCTTGGGACAGGCTCGCAGGAAACCTTCTGATGCTCCTGAACCCCAATGAACCCCGAGTCACCATTCTTCTCTAATTGGGGGAAACCGATTTGTTTTGTTCCAAAGCGCGTCAGAGTCTGCAGTGGGAGCATTGTGGCCCAAGATTCAGTCCATTTCAGCGTCCTTCATTAGAATGCAGGGGGGCAAACCCTGGCATCGTCAACTGGGCCAGAGGAACAAAGGCAACATGGAAATTGGAGCAGGCAATGACTCCCTCCATCTCCACTTTTTCAAAACAAGATTCCAACCATTTACTGGAGAACTTATTGTGTCCTTGTGTCCCATACAAAGAAACAGGAAACTTCAGAGGAAAAAAGGGGGCCCCTATTTCTTACATGGTGGCCCGGGGCAGTCGGGGTGGCTGGGGGGGTGTTGTCAGGAGGCTAGCCTGGCAAGCTGAGGAGGGGCCACTTCCTATTTTTTTTTTTGCTCTCAGAGGAGGTCACCTGCAAACGGGGGGCCGTCTTTCATCCTAGGGAGACAGCCCAGAGAGAGGCCAGGGGTAGGCTCCACTCTCTCCAAGAGAAAAAGACAAACCTGCCCCTCCATGTCTGAAGGGCAATCTCCCCTCAGATCCATGAAATGCCTCTGAGACGAAATCTGCTTCCAACTTGTCAAGAATAGACCTAGTTTCCGAATATCTGAATGGCAAGTCCCTGTTCTGAAGACTGGTGTTCATCACGGCTCATCTTGAGAAGTGGACAATCCTTCCACTACAAACCACTCTGGAACAAGTTCTCAAAATGCGCAGTCTGTGTATAACTGAACGAATGTTACGTACATTTGTACAATGAAATACTCAGCAATAGTGATTTCAAATGAGGTATTTCAACAGGCACTGACCTGAACAACAACAACAACAACAACAAAATCCAGGATGTGAACACTGAAATGAATACATATGAACTCATATGTATTCTCTAATCCACTTTTGTTTAAGACAAAATATTCTTATTTTTGCAAGACTGCCACTTGGCCTCATACCTCATTAATGTGAGGCCACTCTACATCACAGTTAAGTAACTATCAAAGCACTGATACCAGAAGCAGTATATCTCTCTCCAATAATGACAACCCACCTTACATCTGTACAACTTCCAGGTGGCCCTCTGGAAGAGGAACAGGGGCAAAATCTCCCAAAGCAGAGAACCGCTGGTTTAAAACTGGCATCTAGATAACTAGATTCTTACATAGAAGAATATCTGGAAGGTGTGAGCAGTGCTTTTGCTGGGAAGCAAAATCAATGTTCCTTTTAGATTTTATACGATTCTGTGCTGACTGTTTTCACAAGTCTGTGTTTCTCTTGTAATTAAGTAGAAAATTCATTTCTATTCTGCTCCTATGCACAGACATACTTACAGAAGAAAGAAAGTAGAGGGGAGCCGATCCCAAGAGATTAGGATAATCAGGATTCTCTGTGGAAAAGAATGACAGGCGAGCCTTCCTGGGGAAGGGAGATCCTCAAGAGGATTCCATAATGAGACACAATGGTATAAACAAAGTGCATCAATCAATCATCTGAAGTCTTGCCAAGCTATGTGGCAAGAACAATGCATTCAAGCCAAGGACCAGTGGCATAAAGGTGGGATCCTGGGCTCTGATTTGGAATTCAATAGGAAACCACTTTTATATTCTTTTTATTATTATTATGCTTGTTTGGTTTGATTTCTGGGTAGAATACTGAGAAGTTCGTTCTGGGTATAATACTGGACTCAATATATTCATAAATATTCTTGTTACAACGTTTGGACCAATTTCTTCTCTGCACCCTACCCCAAACCTCCTTACTACAATTCGACTACTGACATATTTGATATTTTACTTCTTTGTTTTGCCAAAGTTAATAATAGTCCTGATATTATGCAGTTAGTTCATAAAGAAACAAAACCAGCCTGCCTGCCTGCCTGCCTGCCTGCCTGCCTGCCTGCCTGCCTTCCTTCCTTCCTTCCTTCCTTCCTTCCTTCCTTCCTTCCTTCCTTCCTCTCTCCCTTCTTCTCTCCCTCCCTCCCTTCCTCCTTCCCTCCCTCCTTCTCTCCCTCCCTCTCTCCCTGCCTTCCTTCCTCTCCTCAAAAATATAAAACTCAGGACCTGGCACTAGTAAATACTCCAGTATCACTCTCTATACAGGTTTTTGACCCAAGGTAGAGCAACTTTTCCATTCTCTGCCTTACACCTAACACAGCAGACGTCAGCGAGGCTAAAAGCACAGAGCAGAGTATCATTTTGTAAGTAACTGGCATAGTCACACTCACCCCCTCTGCTGAGTCAAAGCCAAAGGACACATAGGGACCTACCACCAAAACTAAGGATCACATAGTTTCCAAGGAAACATCCGAAATGTTATTTTTTTTTAAAAAGCGTATGAAACTAGAATATTATTTGACTTGGCACCTTAGAGGCTGAAACAAACCCCTAGATGTGCTGCTGGGAGTGAGTGAGTGCTTGTTAAAGGTTTGGCTGGTGCTCTGTCCTTGAGTACTTTCACTGTTCCATGGATCCCTTTTCTCCCCACACCTACCCAAGTCAATGGTGCTTTACTTCTAATAACCTGTATCTTCAATCTTGTGGACTGTTAAAGTTGCCTGCATGGAAAGCCAGGTGTGAGTCCCAGTTGCCCCAGGTAGACCTTAGCCAATGGCAGGATACAGGAATGGAATCCCAACTGGCCTGTCTTAGAACCAGGTACACTCTGAGATGTACTGGCATCACAGTTCCCTTGCCACACCCTTACCAGCTTCTCCTGGGAGCAAGTCCCTAAGACACCACCTGCAAACACACTTATATCTCAGGAACTGCTACTGGGAGCCCTGCCTTGCTCCTTTTCTGTCTTTTCTTTGTTTCTCCCCAAATTTTAATTTCTTCTTCCACACGTATAGCATAGCGGTAGGACGTTTGCCTTGCACGCAGCCAACATGGCCGACCCGAGTTCGATTCCTCCACCCCTCTTGGAGAGCCCAGCAAGCTACCGAGAGTATCTCGCCCGCCCGGCAGAGCCTGGCAAGCTCCCCGCGACGTATTCGATATGCCAGACACAGTAATAACAAAGTCTCCAATGGAGACGTTACTGGGCCCGCTCCAGCAAATCGATGAACAACGGGAGGGCCTTTACCTTTACCTTTACAGGTATCACTGAGAGAGCTGATAGCTATAGTCCATGGTTCCTGGCAATGCCCCATACTCCTGTTAGAACACACACTGTACCCGAAATTTTGTTCCCAAAGTCCCTTGGTAGATAGTTTCTGCTCAGAGCTTTGAAGTTCCCCCCTCTGCCAATGGGTGTGGTTATGGGCAACTGCACAGCTGATCCTGATGTGGTGTTTGCAGATCTCTTGTCAAATACCTTTTTTCTCTGCCAGATAAGTGTTTTTTACTCAGCAGATTCTAGTTTCTCTGGCAAAGGTTTGAATCTAATATCAGAGAAGAGTCACGTCCTGCCTCGCAAGACCATCAATTCAAAACTTTTGCCTGCTTCGCAGTGGGTTATTTCTTTGATTTGTTTATTTGCTTGACCTGGGTTGTGGAGGGCTATTTGTGATTAGCTTTCAACTTTGATCTGCAAGAACTAGAGTAATTGGGTGTTTTAGGGGGATGGGCCTGGATAGGGTCCAGACAAGAAGAGTCAGTGGGGGAGCATGTGAGTTGTTGAAGTTTTAGGGAGGACTTTCCCAGAGAGTCATGTCTGAGGATGTCCATCATTGAAAAAATTTCTTTCCTCTCTGACTCCTATTCTGTACCACATGTTGAAATCTCAGCTCATCCCAGGCCTCCCCAAGAGTTAAAGAAGCCTGAAAGTTATCTCACCAACTCAGATCAGCTCCTTCAGAGAAAGACAAGTATTTCCAGAACCCAAATTCACAGTGTTCCTTCAATAAATGTTGCAGATACACCCAATGTGGTCCATATGTGCTATTCACACAATGATCATATAATTCATCATCCAACTCAGGATGCATCTATGCATGAGAAAGTGCCATTCATAATGATGCCCAGACAAAATGCTTACACTGACTCTGCCCCTAGGAAGCTAGAGCTCATGGTCACTTTGCCTATTTATGGTCCTCAGAGCAAGATTTTATTCATTTATCTTTTTGTTTGGTTGGTGGGCTTTGGGTTTGGGGGTACACTTAACAATGCTCAGGGATTATTCCTGGCAGTGCTCAGGGGAATGTATGTGGTTCCAGGGTTCTAACTAGAATCAGCCACAAGTGAGGCAAACACCTTTACCCTTGTGCTATGTGTCTGGGCCCCCCAATGCAGGATTTCAGATTGTACAACAATACACTGGAGTCTATGCATGAAGACCCTGGAGTATAACAACAAAATCTTGATCTTTAGATGGACAGCAGAGATTTAGACTCTGAATCACAAGAGACTTTATGATGGTGGATTCCTGTGTCGGTCTTATCTCAGAGTATTTGAGGTCACTGAAAGCATTTGAGGAGGTATTTTCAGCAGGCGAAGACTAACTAAAGCAATGGGCAGTTCCAGACATCCTGATTCAGATTGCCCTGAGACCCCTCACAGAGAGTGTTCCATTAGGCACTATCTTGGACAAACCATCCTAATACCAACAAACAACAGAGCAAAGGAGCCCCCTGACCTCCCTCCCCACCAGCCCTGCATGCCACTGAACACCCACTTGGGAGAGGCACTCACCACTTTCGCAGCGCTGCCCGGTGTAGCCTGCTAAGCAGGCACACCTGTAAGATCCAGTTTGGTCAAGGAGACAAGTGCCATCATGGAAGCATGGGGACGAAGAACAAGCTGCAAGAGATAAAGCAATTGCTATCAGCGCAGCCTGGCAGTGAGTCAACTTTCTCAGGAGTAGAGTCTGTCACCACCAAAGTCTTCTCAAAATGCCTGTAGTTGACCCTGGAGAGATAGTATGGGGTGAAGGTGCTTTGCAAACAGCCGATCCTAATTTGACCCCCAGCACTGTATGGTCTCAAAAGTAGTCTTTGAGCAGCACCAGGTGTGGCCCCAAATCTCCGCGTCTCCCACACCCAAATTTTACTTCTTTCAGTGAATTCTTTGTCACTGTCTCTGTCTTCCCATTGCTCATCGATTTGCTCGAGCAGGCTCAGTAACGTCTGCATTGTGAGACTTGTTACGGTGTTTGGCATATCAAATACCTCACGGGTAGCGTGCCAGGCTTTGCTGTGTGGGCGAGATACTCTCAGTATCTTGCCGGGCTCTCTCCGAGAGGGGCAGAGAAATTGAACCTGGGTCGGTCGGGTCGGCTGTGCGCAAGGCAAACGCCCTACTATTATGCCATCGCTCCAGCCCTCAGTGAATTCATGCTATTGATTTTTCATGAAGTCATTGGATATTTCTGAAGTCCCCAAAAGTAGGCTTTGTCAGGGCCTGAGAATGTAGAGCTGCCTGGACCCTGCAGCGCTGAGGAATCCTCAGAACACCTTGGCAGTTCCTAGGGCCTCCAGGGCTGCACCCAGTTTTCTTCCCTCTTCACCTGAGAGGACAACTGTGAGCCTGGTGGACAAGTGTGTCCACCCTCACAACTGTGTGACCTGCGACGAGTGACCCGCATCTTTGTAGTCCCATGTGGGGACAAGGGAAATACTTTCCATTCCAGTTCGATGGGCACATCTGAAATATCGCTTATATTTTTACAAATTTATTTATTTGGTTTTTTTTTTGCAGACTTAGAAACTTTCATGATTATGTTTCAGTCATACAATATTCGAGCATCCAATCCCTCCACCAGAGCCCATTCTCCACCACCAATGTTTCCAGTATTCCTCCCACCACCCCACCCTTTCCCACCCCCTGCCTCTGTGGGAGGCATATTCCCTCTTACTCTCTCTCTCTCTCTCAGGTGTTATGGTTTGCAATACAGTTACTAAGCAGCCATCATGTTCAGTCCATAGCCTGCTTTCAGCATGCATCTCCCATCCCAAGCGAGCGCTCCAACCATCACGAAATATCCCTTATTGTTTCCTCTTTCTTTCTTGCAGCACAGGTTGCCCCTGAGAACCCAGCCTGTGAAGTCTGGATCATAAGGCTGAGCTGGGAGAGAGAGTGAGTGTATTGAATTGAGAGCTTTACCTGGGGAACAAACAAAACAAGACCTTTCTCTTCACTCTTTACCTGTGATCTCCTCAAACACAGCGTGGAAGCCATCGAAGTTCTTGGAACCATCAGAATGGAAGAGGAGATGGAGGGAGGAGCTGCTGCTTCGGATGGGAGCCGGGCGCTCATTGCCACAGAAACGTTTGATGATCTGACTGTCACTGTTGTCCCCATCACGGACCTCGACATAGTCATATTGACACATGTAGTCAAACTCCAGACTCAGCATGACAAACCTGTGGGTGGAGGGGATGAGGGCAGGAAACAGGTGAGTCTGGGCCCCTACCAAGTTCATGGTCAAACAGCAAACCGGTCCTAGAATAGGGGGCCAATGGCCTCATGTCTTTGAGGATGACCCTGCAGGATTGCAGTCAGGGTTTCTTTGAATGGAGATATGTGTGTGAATGTGACTATGTGAATGTGTGTGTGAATATGTGTGTATGTGTGCGGGGTATCTGAGTATACATGGTGAATGTATGTGTAAGAGTGTGTGTAAGAATGTGTGTGTGAGTGTGTCTACACACTCAAATACATATGTTTGATTCAGAGAATCTATGCATGAGGGGGTGGAGAGATAGTACAGTGGGTAAGGTGCTTGCTTTTCATGTGGCCGACCCAGGGTCTATTCCCAACATCCCATTTGGTCCCCAGAATACTGCCAAGAGTGATCCCTGAGATCCAGGGGTATGCTCTGAGCATTATTAGACAAGACCCCAAAACATAAAAAGGGAAAAAAAGAGCTGCCTTTTCCTCTAGCATGTGTGGCTGGCCTCTAAGCCATGGAGCAAAATAAAGGGTGTTGGGAGGAACCTTCCAGGATGGGAGAAGCATGCTGAAAGTAGACTATAGACCAAACACGATTGCCACTCAGTGCCTCTTTTGCAAACCATAACACCCAAAAGGAGAGAGAGAGAACAAAGGGGAATGCCCTGCCACAGAGGCAGGGTGGGATTGGAGGAGTGGGGGTGGAAGGGATACTGGGATCCATGGTGGTGGGAAATAGGCTCTGGTGGAGGGATGGGTATTTGATCATTGTATAATTAAAACCCAAGCACAAAATTTGTAAGTCTACAACTGTACCTCATGGTGTCTCACTAATAAAAATTTTAAAAAATTGTAAGAAATCGTAAATAAAAACTATTAAGCACAAAAAAAGGGAAAAAAGAGAAACTATGCAAGAGTGAGTCCCTTCTCAGTCTGCATCTCTTGTCTACATCTGCTTGAATAGTCTCACAGTAACTTCTCTGCTCTCTAAAGACTGACCCTGTGTGCTCCATGATGTGTGCACATGTCTTTATTTCTCCTATTTATCTTTTTGGTGAGTCTGAGTGTGCAGGCATTTGGCTAGACTGGCAAGACCTTGAGGACAAAGAATAACTGTCTTCTTTCCCTTTCCATCTGCACAGAGCATGTAGCAGCAGCTGATGGAGAAAGATGGAGAGATGCTGAACAAGGACTCTGAGGAAATGACTGAGTGTCATTTGACCATTCAAGACTGGAAAAGGTTCATGCTGCAAGATCAAGTAAAAGCAACAAATCTCTCTACATCCTTCTTATTGATGGAAGTGGATGGAATACTGTAATTGTACAATAGTGGAACATTGTACAATGATAGAACACTGTAATTCTCTTCAGAGGAACAATAGCTTTCAGCCCAGATAAGAGATAAGGCAGCAAGCTGCCTATCAGAGCTTCAGAGTGTGAGAGAGGAAATCTGGAATTTGGAAATATTGGGATGTGTCAGAATAAATAGGCAGAAGCTCCAAAAACCTCAATTACACCAGATAAGGAAAGAGCCAAATGTGTTCTGCCTACATCCCTGGACAAGAAAAAAAAAGATCAAAGACATTTGTTCTCCTTGTTAATTGCTGCACTATTGATGATACCCAAAATCTGGGTATCATCCAAGAACAGATGACTGGATAAAGAAACAGCGATGTATTTGTACAGTGGAATACTACCCAGCAATAAAAAGATCAAATCAGTTGGCTGGAATTGGAAGGTACCATGCTGAGTAAAATCAGCCAGAAGGAGAGAGACAGGTACAGAGTTATCTGTCTCAAATGTGGATTATAAAAACCCATAGTAAGGAAACAACAAATGGCCCAAAGCAAGAATCTAAGACCTTGTCTATAGAATAGAGCTTAGCAGGGCAGTAAAACAGGGATGTGAGACAGGGGAGTGAGACAGGAATGGTTAATTGGGGGATGGGAGGTGGGGAAGGACACTGAGAAAATGGAGGAGGGAAATGGGTTCTGCAGAGCTAAGTGTTGAATGTTGTGGGCACAAAACTCTGCCCAGTATTCTAAAATGGTGGCTATCAAGGTGGCTGAAGTTCAGCTCAGATAGAGAAGGGAGCACCAAATAAAGGGTGTTGGGAAGATCCTCCCAGGATGGGAGATGCATGCTGAAAGTAGACTATAGACCGAACATGATTGCCACTCAATTTCTCTTTTGCAAACCACAGCACCCAAAAGGAGAGAGAGAACAAAGGGGAGTGCCCTGCCACAGAGGCCGGGTTGGATGGGTGGGGGGATAAGGGGTGGGAGGGATACCGGGATTAGTGGTGGTGGAGAATGGGCACTGGTGGTGGGGATGGGTACTCGATCATTGTATAACTGAAACCCAAACACAAAAATTTGTAAGTCTACAACTGTACCTCATGATGTTTCACTAATAAAAATTTTTTAAAAATATATTTTAAAAAAAGAAAAGAAGGCAATTTACCACTACATAAATGGGACTGGAAGGTATCATGCTGAGTGAAGTCAGCCAGAAGGATCTCTTTCTTGGGTGGGGGAAAAAGAAGCATAGTAACAGATAACTGATGTCCGAAGGCAACAACACCTGAGAACTGGTCTACCAAATTGAGTTCATCATGGCAGGGAGATGGTGCAGGGATTCAGGCTTTATGGATGATCCTAAGAAAATAGCGAATGGAAGCAGACATTCTGTGGAAGATGTGGGATTGGAACACTGTATCCATAAAACCCTACCATTAACAAAACTGTAAATCACGGTTAACTTTTTTTGTTTTGTTTTGGGGTCATAACTGACGATGCTCTGGGATTACTCCAGTCCCTACATTCGGGAATCACTCCTGGTGGAGCTCAGGTGACCATATGGGATGCCTGGGATTGAGAGACTTGAACTCAAAAACCTAGCATATGCCAGACCTGCACTTTACCATTTGCGCTAACTTCCTGGTACTTATTTACAAAAAACTTACACCAAAATCTTTAAGGGGCATGATCCCTATAAACCCTACTCTATGTATCATGGTCTAACATTTCAGAAGATGCCTGACTTCACATCCAAGGACACTATTTATTCCCTGTGACCTTAAGAAATCTACCTTCACAGGGCTTTGGGATGTTTGAGAAAGCACGAGGTCCAGGCCCCCGCCAGCAAAGACCCAGCCGGCTCTCTGTAACTGAAGGAACTACACCATTTATACAGACATTCCTGCAGCCATTCACTCCTTCAGCAACCATGGGCTGCAGACCTGGGCTAGGCCAGGCACTGTTCTAGGTTCTGAAAGCATGGCAGGAAGCCAAGCTAACCGTCTGCTTTCACCAAGTCAAAAATGGGTAGGGGGACTGGAGCGATAGTACAGTGGGTAGGGTGTTTGCCTTGCACGTGGCCAACCCAGGCTCAATTCTCAGCACTACATATGATCCTCTGAGCACGGCCAAGACAATTCCTGTGTGCAAAGTCAGGAATAATTCCTGTGCATTGCTGGATGTGACCCCAAAAGCCAAAAAAAAAATGGGTAGGAGTGATCATGAATAGGTTTGCAACACTGTATTTCATGGTGAGCCAAAGAAAATGGGTAGGCATAAAATTTTTTATAACAAATTATTAAATTTATTACTTAATAATATTTATAACATCCACTGTATCAGTGTGTCACTGTCATGCCGTTGTTCGAGTGGGTGCCAGTAACATCTCTGTTCGTCCCAGACCTGAGATTTTGGCAGCCTCTCCTTACTAGTCTTTCCCAATGATTGGAGGCTCTTTCAGGGTCAGGGGAATGAGACCCATTATATTTACTGGTTTTGGCATATCAAATGTGACTCGGGGAGCTTGCCAGGCTCTGCCCGTGTGGGTGGGATACTTTTGGTAGCTTTCCGGGCACTCTTAGAGGCATATATATATATATATATATATATATATTTTTTTTTTTTTTAACTCTATGATCTGTTGCCTACTTTCTGAACTCCATCAAACATGGTGTGGTAATTATGGGCAAGGGGTAGGAAGTGTCCCATGATGTGTCGCATGGTCCTGAAAGTGGCCTGGAGAATGGTGGCAGTTGGGTAGTGGAGGTCGGCTGCGGGGGCTGGATCCCTTGGGGTGGGAAGGGCTCTCGACCGCCTCTCTCTGGGGCGCCCTGAGTGGAAACAGCCTGGCGCAGAGTCCATTGGCATGATTATGGGGGCCTCTTTTTATACTCCAATCTGGGAGGTGCAGCCATGAGTTCTGGAGGGTGGTTGAAAAGGAGATTATCTGGTGCCTGCAAGGTGTGGCTTATGGGTGTGACCCCTGGGTCACCAGAGACTGCGGGAAGCAGGCAGAGGATCTCTGTTCCTGGTCCATGGAGTCCAGAGTCCAAGGTCACAAAGTTCCACATTACCTGGGTTCCCTGGGACTTCACTCCTGTGTGAAGCTCGGCCCGAGAATCTGGAAAGTGGCTTGGAGCATGGCGGTGGTTGGGTAGTGGATGTAGGCTGCCGGGGCTGGGTCCCTTGAGGCGGGGAGGGCTCTCACCCGCCCCCCTCTGGGGTGTCCAGAGTGGAAACAGCCTGGTGCGGAGTTCAAAATTCCAAAAGTTGGAATTTATAATATTATATTTAATTAATTAAGTCATAATGCTGCACACTGATGATCCTCAAAGGCATTTATTCAGAGGCTACTTAGCTCCAGGTCACTCCCAACAGTGCTCAGAGGTCCATATGGTGCCAGGGATGGAATTAAAGGTTCTTTCAAGTAAGGCATGTGCTGCAGCCCCCTGAGTTATATCCCTAACACAGTTTCATTTTTTTTTTATAAATTTTGGGGACACACCTAGAGATGTAGAAGGCTTACTCCTGGTTCTGTGCTCGGAGATTACTCCTAGTGGGGATTAGGGGCCATATGGAGTGCCAGGATTCTAATCCAGATGGGCTGCATGTAAGCCAAGTGCCTTACCTATTGTACTTCTCTTTGATCCCATATTTTTTCCCTTAAAAGGCTGTTCTCAGGGGTCTAAGGCTACTTCCCGCAGAGATCAGCCTAAGCACTGCCAGTGCTGACAAGAAGAAACTTGGATAAGAAGAAACTTGTTTTTCTCTAATGCTTGAAAATACATTGCTCTCCTAGAGGAGAGAGAGACATTTGAGGAGGCAGCTTGGCACATGGAGATAGCTGGATGCACTGATCTGTTCGGAAAATACTTATTGAAAGTCCATAGCCAAGAAGATTGAAGATTTCCATCACTATTACTGAGTAGAAAAATAAAAGGTTAAGTACTTCTAAGTATATCCTTAGAAATCCTGAGTGAGTGAGCCACTGAGAGGTGAAAGAGAACACTTGCCAGAATGAGAGATGAGAGGCAGCAAAGGAAGAAGCACTTTTTCAACACCTATCCCTGCTCTATATCTGGTAAAGTACTGATATAGGTAGGGAAGTATCATAAACTATTACAGATCCTAGAAGGCAGCAGTGAATAACTAATTCAACAAACAGGAATCGCTTGTGCAATTTATTGGACTATGGCATAAGTAAAACTTTTTTTTATTATGGACTCCAAATCTCTATTAAAAAAAAAACTGTTTCTTTTCATGCAAGTGAGGGAATTGGCTTATTTGTCAGTAGAGTAGATGTTTTTTTCTAACAGAAAGAAATTTGACAAGCATAACCCCCAGTCTAGAGTGTAAATTATACTTTTTACAACCCTTCCATAAATCTCAGTCCACCACATACCCCTTGCTTCACCCTGGTGTGTTTTACTGCCCTTTGCAGATAGTTCATCGTTTATAAATTGAAGATTTGTGGCAACCTTGAGTTAAGCAAGTTTATTAGTGCCTTCCCCCCCCCAGCCCCCCCAACCATGCATGCTCACTTCCTGTTTCTGTGTTACGGAAGTGGAAGCCTTATGCTTTTAGGCATCAGGTTGTTGCACACTTGATTATGGTATCATATAAATGTCACTTTTATATATACTGAGAACCCAAAAACTCTGTGAGTCTGTATTGCGACATTTGCTTTATTATGGTCTAGAACCAAAGCCACAATCTCTCTGAAGTATGTCAATCCTGGGTGTCTCTGAAGACTTGGTAGAAATGGGTAAACTGCTCTCTATATTTTGTATTGTTGGCACTATTCTTGGGTCAAATCTATATCTGGTAAAGTACTGATATAGGTGGGAGATGTGTGCTGAAAGTAGATAAAGGACCAAACATGACGGTCTCATTTTCTGTATTGCAAAACCATAATACTCATAAGTAGAGAGAAAGAGGGGAATTGTCTGTCATTGAGGGAGGGGGAGGGGGAGGCCAATTGGGGGAGGGATACTGACAACATTGGTAGTGGAAACTGTATACTGTTGGGGCTGGAATAATAGCATAGCAGGTATGGCATTTGCCTTGCACGTGGCCGACCCAGGTTCGATTCCCAGCATCCCATATGGTCCCCCGAGCACCACCAGGAGTAATTCCTGAGTGCATGAGCCAGGAGTAACCTCTGTGCATAGTCGGGTGTGACCCAAAAAGCCAAAACAATAACAAAAAAAAAAACTGTACACTGTTGGAAGGATGGGTGTTCGATCTTTCTATGACTGAAACTCAAACATGAAAGTTTTGTAACTGTAGCTCATAGAGATTCAATCAAAAAAAATTACCCGAATCCTGTTGCTCTCTTGAATGGTAATGAAAGTACATTTAACTGGCTGCACCTTTTACAAGATCTTTCTATGGAATCAATGAGAAGTTAAAAAAAAAAAAAGCAGGGGTCCAAAACACATTTTCTGTTTTTAAAAACAAGGTGATAATGTTTAGTTCTTGGCATCAAGACTCAGTCTCACTGCTGTTTCCTTATAACTCTGACTTCCTAATCCTGACCCCCAGCCCCTTACCTTAACTGGATGATGAATCCAGGCTTGGCATGGATGGTCCATTCACAGTGAGCATTGAGGGGATAGCTTTCCAACAAAATCTGACCCTTTGGGGCTCGCAGAACCTGGCCACATCCTGAGAAGAAAAGAGAAGATTAAGGCCGGGAAGTTGAATCAACAGGAAAGAGATAGTAGAAGGTCTCCAAGAGCTTTTGAAATCAACAGGACAGAGAAGGAAATGAATATTTCTCAAATACCTAGCTATGAGCTAAAAAAAACTTGCACAGATGAATGCATTTAATCCTTGGGAAGGGAAGTGGTAATATCCCAGTTCTCCAGCTAGGAAGATGAAAAAAAACAGAAAGTTAAATAATCTGTCCAGTTTGTAAGTGAAAGAGCAGAGTTTGAAACCTCACTGCATCTGATTATCAGTGGAAACCACCGTCTTACCCAGCCCCTCCGGGGCTGCCATTCACCTGCCTGCTGCCTCGCTCTGAAGAGGCTCCGCTCCACAAAGCAATATCCTTGTCTGGAGTCTTTATTTGCATAAAGTCCTTCCATCTGTGTTCCCTGCACATCCTCTACCCCGCGAATATAACCCTGAAGCAACCCTTGCTGACCTTTTCTCAACCAGAAAATGCATGCATTCATTTATTCTCCGGGCAATTAAGCTATAAATCTCTCTGGTGTGTGTTCTGCATGTACAATGTAGATCAGCATATATCTGTCTTCCAAATAGCTGGATTGGATTAATGGTTTTCCATTTTTCTTCTATCTCCAAATCCTCTGATTTCAGCATTGGTGATATAGTGGTGAACATAGCTGCCTTTCAACCGATTTCAAACTCTTTAAGAAGACCATCAATTAAAAAATATAGATTAAGAGGGCTTCCCAGTGGAAGTCAAAGCTTAGTTTATATGGCCCCCAAGTTTTCTTCAAAGAATCACTAAGACTGAAAAGTCACTAGACTGGGTCACTGTTCAGTTGTATTTTCCAGTGTTACTAGAATCATATAAGATGCACCCTGGATTTACAAAAGAGTTTAGGAGAAATGATTTTGTAGGGGAAGAATAACTGGGTTGTATAAATTATCTGAATTGTACAAATACGGGATATTTTTATGAAAGGTGGCAAACTGCCATCTGTGGGACAAATCCAGCTGTGTGCCTATTTTTATAAAGAAAAATTATATTGGAACAGGCCATACCCGTTCTTCTCTGCATTATCTACAATGTTTTCGACCTATAATGGCAGAATTGAATTTTTGCAGTAAGAGACAATGGAACCCACAAAAGTATGAAACTATTGAGTATCTTCCCCTTTACAGGAGAAGCAGTATCATTGCTTCTTATGAAAATCCAGCCTGACAACAGACACTTTGGATTTGCATTCATATTCAATACCCGCCTAAGCCCCCAAGGACAGAACCCCACTGCTAAGTGGACAGTGCTCCTCTGCATACTGATGAGAGCACTATCGCTCACATTGTGTTTAGCAAGCTGGGAGGTCTGAGACTGAAAAATCATTGACTGGTGGCAGTGGGGACCTCCTCACTGGGTCCTAACTGCTGCTCTGTTGGGACTCTCATCTGCCATTTCCTACGGGCCTCTGCTCCAGGCTCTGCCTCCTCTCTCTCTCTCTCTCTCTCTCTCTCTCTCTCTCTCTCTCTCTCTCATTTCATTGTCATGCCCTCCATTATTGCTTCCTTTCATCCCCCCTAGACCTCCACCATTTGATGCCCCACCGGCAGCCAAAGCCACCTTTGATGTAAAGAATTCAGATCATGTGACTCCTCTGCTTTTGTAAGTGGTGGTAGGGTGGCACTGGGACCACTTTCTGAGGTGCTGGGAGCCACCATGGGGGTCATACGGTTCCAGGGATCGAACCCAGGACCTCAGACTTGGGTTACATCCTGTCCCCACATTTGTCTCTAGGTTCAACCCTTCAGAATCTAAGGCTGTACATTAGATAGCTAGGGCGTGTGACGATTACAAGTCACTAACTGTAAAGCAGCAATTGAAAATCCTTGGCTTGGCCCTGAGGTTCAGCATAATATTCCATGACTGTGTGGATGAAGGCACATCATTATCTCTTGGAACCCTGGGAAACCTGCATCAAGTAGGAATAAAAGCAGCATCTGAGATATATATATATATATATATATATATATATATATATATATATATATCTTGGGGAAGCATAAATCAGATGATGCCTGAAAAATTAGTCAATGCTCACCATTGGAGATGATGGTGAACAAAAATTTGAACTTGTGTCTGTCTAGTTCCAGTCCCGCGTCTCAGCTGGGACCTTAAACTTATTTGGGGGGTTTTCCTTATCCCACCCCATTTCATCTCCCACTCCATTTTGAAGCAGTGGGGATTTTTTTCTCCCCCCTTATTTTCTCAGAGAGCTCTGGCAAAGCTTTACCACTACCCCCTCCTGGAGGTGCACGTTTCTCCTTCCTGCTCACATCACACTCCTCACGCCCCCATCTGCCCATCTGCTGCAGGGCGACGGAAGTGATACGCTGGGTGTGAGAAACCAAAAAAGAAATCTTCCTGCACAGCCTCCGCCCCTTGAGACTGGCAACTTCCCAGCCTGCAAGGTGTTAAATCCCAGCTTCCTTAGCAAACCTCCTGCTGCAGGAACCCCAAGTTAGAACCAGCTCCCAAGCCTGCCAGCCTGCTCGCGTCTCTGTTCTTCTTCCGGAAGCTGGAATCCCAGTGCGACTGTGGTGGACGGTGAGGGACCTCTCCACTCAGGTTTCCTTGGCAAGACCCTTGATGCTTTGGTTGACTCTAGTACAGAACTCCCACTCCCACCAGGGGGGGCTCACACCCCTGCACGGCTAGCCCTCTGGTTTCCATAGGCGCTGACTGCCTTTCCCCCCACCCTCCTAGCAAGAAGGTTGCCATCCAAGCTGGAAACTTCTTGTTTCTTCATGATGCTGGGCCTTCTGACTCCGGAGGGGAGGGCAGAGTTGGCCCCCGGGCTGGAGGATGACTTCCAACCAACCAGTGACAAAGAGGTCACTTCTCAGAAATGCACTTGGAGGAAGAGGTATTGGCCAGAGCCATGAGGAGGAAGGAGCCCAGCTTCCCCCCACACCAAGGCACTCCTTCAGTTCCCTCTCCCGCCTGGACTCCGGGACCTGAGAGCAGGCAGACTCACTGCACCTCTCTGTTCCGGCAGAACAGTGAACACAGCCCAGTGTCCCCGCCAAGGAAGTGCTGCAGGCCAACCAAGCAGGTGGTCCTGAATGTGAAAGGCAGAGCAGGCAGAGTGCCCAAGAAAACGTGCTCAGACTCTCTGATGGGGTCCGGCTACTGCAGGGGAATGGGTGTGTGTGTGTGTGTGTGTGTGTGTGTGTAGGAGATGAGAAGGACATTTGCCAGTGAAATGTGAAACCAGACTGCCCCCTGGACTCTCAAATCACAAGACTTTCCCCAATACTCCCAGTGCTATAAGCCCAACGCTAAAGAGCGATCCGGAGAGATCCTGCTCCCATGGAGCTGAATGGAAATCTTCATTAGTATCCAAGCCAGTAGGAGAACTGGTGAGGTTCTCCCCAGAAAAAATCACCTCCATCATTTGGACAAAATCCTTCCTCTCTCCAGTATTGAGGGCTGGAAGCTGTGTGTGTGTGTGTGTGTGTGTGTGTGTGTGTGTGTGTGTGTGTGTGTTAAGACAGAGACACAGCATACTTCTGAAAAGTACTTGGATCAAGATCTTTCTTGATTTTATTTCTTATATCTTTCCTGAGTAGGAAATGGGAACAATCTATTAAAAACAAAACAAAACAAAAAAAACATTCACCTAGTACCAGAGTATAGGGAGAAGAAGCAAAGGAGAAGAGTGGAGGAGAGGGAGAGAAGAGATATTTGAGAAGCAATGCGGGGCAGGAGTCAAGGGGATTCAGATACATCGGTGATATTAAAGAATGATGAAGCTAAATTTCCAAATCACAGAGTCAAAAACATTGAAATCATGAGACTCAAAGTTTAACAACCAGGGGCTGGAGCTATAGCACAGCGGGTAGTGCATTTGCCTTGCACGCGGCCGACCCAGATTCGATTCCCAACATCCCATATGATCCCCTGAGCACCGTCAGGAGTAACTCCTGAGTGCAGAGCCAGGAGTAACCCCAGTGCATCGCCGGGTGTGACCCAAAAAAGCAAAAAAAAAAAACCCAAAGTTTAACAATCAAACTTCAAAAGGTGTCTGTCAAGATGCCAGGCTGGGGAGTGTGGGGGGTGGTTGGGGGGGACTATGGGAGGAAACCTGGGAACACAGGTGGCGGTAAGTTGTCGCTGGTGGTGGAACAGCGCTATAACATGGTATGTCTAAAACCCAACTATGAATAACTTTGTAAATCATGGTGCTTTAAAAAAATAATTTTTTTAAAAACACATTCAGACACAGGTGCATCTGTATCTTCTGGCTTTTTTCAAAGAGAAATCAGGAGGCAGAAGACTCGCAGCACGGGATCAGTAGCAAGTGAAATGAGACCTGGGGCTTCATCCCCAAGTTGTGGAACTCCAGCCAAAAGTTTTCTGGCTGTTTGAATCGGAGGTCTCTTCAATTGGAAGTGAGGCATTAAAGCAGATCCTACTACTATGTTGGTTTCCTTTTCTTTTTAAGGATCAAATGAGATCAATCTGTGGAAAGCACATAGCACAGTGCCTGGTATGTCACGGTCACAGTCCTCCCGTTGTTCATCGATTTGCTCGAGTGGACCCAGTAATGTCTCCATCGTGAGACTTGTTGTTACTGTGTTTGGCATATCGAATACATCACGGGTAGCTTGCCAGGCTCTGCTGTGCAGGCGAGATACTCTTGGTAGTTTGCGGGCTCTCCAAGAGGGGCGGAGGAATCGAACTCGGGTCGGCCATGTTGGCTGCTTGTAAGGCAAATGCCCTACCGCTGTGCTATCGCTCCAGCCCACAGTGCCTGGTACATAAAATTTTTTCCCCATTTTTTATAATTTTATTTATTGAATCACCATGAAAGCAGTTAAAAGCTTTTGGGTCTAAGTCTCGGTCATACAATGAAACACCCATACCTTCACCAGTGCCCATTCTCCACCACCAAAAACCCTAGTATACCCCCATCCCACACCCTCCCTCCACCTGT